AAAGAAACAACACAAAAAGAAAATAATAATATACAGCCACCATTTTCTATTCACTGTATATGAACTGATCAACGCCTCATTTCCTGTGTGTGTGTGTGTGTGTGTGTGTGTGTGTGTGTGTGTGTGTGTGTGTGTGTGTGTGTGTGTGTGTGAGTGTGAGTGTGTGTGAGTGTGTGTGAGTGCGTGTGTGTGTGTGTGTGTACCTGTCGATGATGACGGGGTCTGACGGCGTCTCGTTTCTGTTCCCGCAGCTCTTCTTATCGCAGCAGCGACTGACACACACACAGAACAATAACAAACGATATTCTCCTGATCAAACACATAGAGGGCTTTTATTTTGAAAGGATCATCGTAAACACAACGATAAAGTTAGGCGATAATGCTCAGTATGTAACGAGGGTCAGAGGTCAGACTCACCTGCACATGATCTCATGAGTCAGCAGAACCCGACACATCTCCGGGTTCTTGTCCTGACCTTCGTATATGATGGCCTAAAACACACACACACACACACACACACACACACACACACACACACACACACACACACACACACACACACACACACACACACACACACACACACACACACACACACACACACACACACACACACACACACCTGATCAGCCTGAGAGGCATTACTCAGGGCAGACAGCCTGACGACGAGCTGCTCGTTAGAGACGCACTAATTAAACCCTTTAAATGTCTCCTCCAATGGACTCCTTTGTCTACTTCAGGAGCACAGTGACATCACTATGGAAAACTCGCGCTCCTATTGGCTAGCGCTCCACGTGTACGCTGTACGTGATAGGCTAAGGAGCGGGACATCTCTAAGAGGTGGACCAATCACAACAGAGCGAGGAAGAGGAAGAGTCTGACAGAGGAGCACGCTCTTATTGTGAAAAACCTCTCCTGTGGTATGAAGGGTATCAGAAGGAGAGTCTAACAGGATGAGCACGCTCTTATTGTGAAAAGTTTCTCTCTCAGAGTCTCACCTGTTTGGTCATGGAGTCGATCAGCCGGACGTACAGGTCCTGCTCCGTCCTCACACCTAAACAACACATTCATATCAGGTTACTTTATATTTCACAGTATGACATCACAGTGGGCCGTTTGGGTGAAACGAGTGCACCCACCGTTGCTGAAGAGCAGCTGCAGTTTGTAATGGATGCCGTTGTTGGTCTTCTCTCCACCCGGCTCCTGAACACAACACAAGATAACACAAACTGAGGGTGCGTTTGATTTCAACACATGGTCAGTGTGAGTCTGATCCTCTACATTAAGACAATAACACAACATCAGTTAGCATGTTACATACATGTGTGTGTTCTGTGCAGGAGGTGCGTTTGTTTTGTAGTTTCTGAGGTGCGTTTGATTCACCTTGTCCTTCTCCACAAAGTCGAGGTAGGACGTCCTTTCGATCTCCACCGGTTGCCCCTGGCGATCATACAGTGCCAACACGAAGTGGAAGAAGTTGGATTTCCTCAGGTTGGACGGGGGTTGCTTCTCAAAGTGAGCGCGGGCTAAACCCACCCCGCTGAGACGGGTGGAGACAGGCGGGAGAGAGGTCACTCATTTATACTTATTTACTGTTCGTTATCATTTATAGCATCTAGTTAAATAAAATGTTGACATTCAGATCAGAGTTAGACCAAAAGAATAAACAATAAAGAATAAAGATCAATAAAGAATAAAGAATAAAGAATAAAGAATAAACAATAAAGAATAAAGAATAAAGAATAAAGAATAAAGATCAATAAAGAATAAACAATAAAGAATAAAGATCAATAAAGAATAAAGAATAAACAATAAAGAATAAACAATAAACAATACAGATCAATAAAGAATAAACAATAAACAATAAAGATCAATAAAGAATAAAGAATAAAGAATAAAGAATACAGAATACAGAATAAAGAAGATTCAAGTTCAAACCGGTAAATAAACTCTTTGTTAACGGAAGTGATTGAACTCAGACATTAAACATGATATGATCGGCACATCAACATAAAACGCAGCAAAAAGACGTAATTGATCTGCTGTGAGGAACACAGAGACTTTTCTCTCACATTACATTCATCAGAAAGGCTCTTTAAGGAACCGGGCGTGATGAGAAGAGGAACAGCATGATAAACATATTATATTATGATATATGCTGTATATTATAATATAATATACAGCATATATATATATATTATAATATCATATACAACATGATATAATATACAGCATGATATGGATGTAATATAATATATATTATAACTTAGTACTTTTTTAACGCATGTAAGATATGCAACACTAAGCTGTCTGTGGCTTCTGCTGTAACGCTGCACATTTCCCCTCCGTGGGACTCATACAGGTATTCTGATTCTGATCTATATCATAATATATATTATAATGTACAGCATGATATAGATATAATTTAATATATATTATGATATAGATATATTATAATATACAGCATGATATAGATATAATTTAATATATATTATGATATATATTATATTATAATGTACAGCATGATATAGATATAATTTAATATATATTATAATATATATTATATTATAATATACAGCATGATATAGATATAATTTAATATATACTATGATATAGATATATTATAATATACAGCATGATATAGATATAATTTAATATATACTATGATATAGATATATTATAATATACAGCATGATATAGATATAATTATAATGTACAGCATGATATAGATATATTATAATGTACAGCATGATATAGATATATTATAATATACAGCATGATATAGATATATTATAATGTACAGCATGATATAGATATATTATAATGTACAGCATGATATAGATATATTATAATGTACAGCATGATATAGATATATTATAATGTACAGCATGATATAGATAT